CCTAACGCAGGGCTTGATCCCACTACCCTGGGATCATGACCCAAGGCCAAAATCAAGTATCAGATACTCAACCAACTGAGCCACCCAGGCTCCCATCAAAAGCTTTAAAATTAACAGAAAGGCATCTGCTGTCTAAGGTTCTGTGGATGAGAAAAGAAAAAAAAAAATCTAAGAAATTCTTCCTTACTAAAAACTTCCTTACTAATCCCAGGACTCTGCCCCATGTGTTGATACACATGTCAAAATAGCAACCTTGTACAATCTAGTCCAACTGTACCTTATCTTTCAGATAGTATTTGAAGTTCTTGATATGACTACGGACATTTCCTGATTTCAGTACAAATGAAGTTTCGGTATTATTCATTTCTGATGGTTTTAAGGATGAGAAAAGTAAAAATGTATACTTTCTCTGTCCTGATTTCTGGACTCCAGGCAGATCGGCACAGAAACGGGCAGAGAGCGCCGCTGGAGGCCTCTGCCTCACTGGCGGTGCGCGAGCTTCAGCAAAGTCTGAGCAGAAGTTATTAAGAAAGTGAAGTGATAAACGCTGTTGACTCAAAGAAATGCAGAGAGGTGGCTCACAGGACATGAAATCCAGGAACGAAGGGGGAAAGCAATCAAGAGTGCAATCTGAGACACGCCACTTACAATTCCGTATACGTCCTCCCACACGACAGTCCTGGAAGATTTGTGGGGTTAAGGACCTGCCAGGGGGCAAGCATAGGTCCTATAAATTAACACAGATATGGAAAACTAACAGGACAGGTCCAGAGGCCCAGAAGGTGAAAAAAAAGACCTAAGACCAATAAGGTTTTAATATAAAAACAAAAAAACAAGACTATTACTCAAAGCACACTCTTCAGGAAGCTGACCCTGACTGCTCTCACACAGTCCGTCACCATGACACTAATTTGGGTGACGAGAGATGACAGGTCTGTTTTGAAACTCTCTGTAAGGCTTGACTAGCAGTCACTGATGAGTGTAGGAGCGAGGTAAGTCTTTTTAGTGGTGAGTTTCATATATTCCAGTGTAATGAAGAACTCTGGTATAGAAAAGATATATTAAAATGTATGTACATATACATATTTCATTCTAATTACAAGATTAGCACAAAGAACCCTTGTGTGCCCTTCACAGATTCGTCAGCTGTTAACATTTTGCCCACTTTGCTTTATCACTCTTTTTTTCCCTCTGTATTTTTCTTTTCCCTAAACCCTTTGAAAATAAATCACAGAAGCATCCTTCAGGATGTATTTGCTAAGAGCAAAGATGTTCACTTACATAATCACAGTACAATTATCAAAATCAGAAAATTTGACTCTAACAAAATACAATTATCTACTCTACAGACCTCAAATGTTGCCAGCTGTCTCGATAATGTCCTTCTTAGACATTATCGTTTGTTTTCTGATCTAGGATCTGACCTGAGGTCACACAATGCATTTTTGTTCCCGTAACAGTTCAAGTCCCACTAATCTGGAGCAGTTAGCATCTCAAGCTTTGTCTTTGAGGACGCCGACGTTCTGGAAGAGCGCAAGGCAGCCGTTTCACAGATGGCCCTGCAAGGGCCCTGCCTGACGCTCCTGCACAGTGAGGCTCAACGCGAGGCTTTTCGGCAGACACATCACAGAAGTGACACCGCATTCTTCTCAGCGCGTCACACGGGGAAACCCAGCTCATCGGTAACCCCATTACTGACAATATTAACCTCCATCACGGGGTTCAAGTTCCCCATGTACAGTTCCCATTTCCTGCTTTGTTATTAATACATAATTTGTGGAGAGACTCTTTTAACTATACAAACTTCCTACTTCCCTTCCCATAAAACTTTCACTCACTAGTTTTAGCATCTACTGATGATCTTGCCTGAATCACTTACTACCATGATGGGGGCAAAAAGATTTTTCTAACTCCTCCATTCTTTCTTTTTTTTAATTTTTAATAGTTTATTGTCAAGTTGGTTTCCATATAACACCCAGTGCGCATTCCCACAAGTGCCCTCCCCCATACCCATCACCCCCCCTTCCCCTCCCCCCCACCCCCATCAGCCCTCAGTGTGTTCTCAGCATTCAAGAGTCTCTCATGGTTTGCCTCCCTCCCTCCTGCCCACTATTTTTCCCCTTTTTCTCCCGCTTTGTCCTAACTCTTCCATTCTTATAAACTTATTAATTGACATTCTACATAAGCAGAAGTTTTTCCTTACACTCATGTGTTTTTACAATTTATTAGAAGTAAGGACTCTTATTCAATTCAATAGATGTACGGGCCTTTATATTTTGGCAGCAAAGAGCCCCCGACACAGTAATGTGGGGCTCCTACAAGCTGATTCCACGTCCTCTGCCGTGTCCTCACTGTATGAGCACTTTCTGCTTTCTGGCACAAGATGTTCCATTTTGTACTCTCCCCATAGCAGGCCTGGAATCAGTCTACTGGGTTCTTCCAGTAGAAGATGCTTTTTTATTTTTTATTTAAGGATTATTTTAGGCTGGATTTTTTTTTAAGTTTATTTATTTATTTAGAAGAGAGAGAGAACACATAAGCATGGGAGGGGCAGAGAGAGAGGGAGAGAAAGAATCCCAAGTGGGCTCTGAGCTGATAGCTGATAGCTGACAGCATGGAGCCCGACACAGGGCTCAAACTCATAAACCATGAGATCATGACCTGAGACAAAATCAAGAGATGCTTAACTGACTGAGCCACCCAGGTGCCCCATTTAAGTTTTTATTTTGAGAGAGACAGAGAGAGAGAGAGAGAAAGCACAAACTGGGGAGAAGGGGAAGCGAGGGAAAGAAAGAATCCCAAGCAGGCTCTACGTTGTCAGCATGGAGCTCAGTGTGGGACTCGATCCCATGAAGCGTGAGATCATGACCTGAGCCAAAGTCCAGAGTTGGACACTTAACCCCCGGAGTTACCCAGGCGCTACAAGATGGCTCTTTAGAAACAAGATCTGGTATCAAGGTGTGCTCATATGGCTGCTTTTAGGCCTGTTCAACAGAAAGAGCTGGTGGATACATAGTATTTATATTTTTAAAAGTTATATCCAATTTAAGGAAAAAATATATACTTTCAGCAAAAAATATACTACAGCATTTGGCCAACCCATACTTAACAGAAATATCCAGCCTCCCACCCCAAAAAAAAAAGCTGTCAGTGAAATGCTCTTAATTACTGGGTTAATATTTCCTTGTAAACTTTGTATAAATTCTCCTACTACAGCAAGCTACTTGTAAATCTTTCAATTTTCTGAAAACAAACCATACATAAAACTAACTTGATCACTTAAGGTTTAAAAGTCAAAGTTAGGAGAACCTCCTTCCCAATGCTAAGAGTAAAGAGGATTTCACAAAGCTCAAGAATAATTAATATTTTAAAAGTAAGAGAATACAGGGAGCCGATTTTTTTCTTCCAACATAACAAAAAATACTGAAATCAAAATTGCCAGTTGATCGGAGGAGAGAGATTAACCTGCTTAACATACTAACTCCTTCGCTAGCCCTTCCCTCCCATAAGAACCCCAAGAACACTCGGAGGGCATGAGCACCCATGTGACCTCTGGAGGCTGGCACAACACTATGTGGCCGATGCAGACGGGCTGATGACAAGCAGGTGGGACACAACACACCCTGAAGTTATTTTCGTTTTCCTAAATCTGTTTCTCACGTCATTTCGCTTTATCACAGACTCCCTCAAGTATTATTTAACCTGAGCAGCGTGTATTAAATCCCTGCTTTACTGCTAGAGCTGAGCTAGGTGTTCCCTCCGAATACAACTCTTGGAGCTACAGGAAGCCCTTCAATCCCTCTTCACTCTATCGCCTCTTCCTCCTCAGTCCCACCGGCTCCGTACCCTGTACAGACCTCACAGCACCTCACTGTGTCAATTCAGCCTCCTTCTCGACGCACTCCTCACACCGCTTAGTCTCACACCACTTATTCTGCCCTTACAGTGTAACCTCTTTCCTTCAGTCCATAAGGTGCTTAAACATCTTGCATGTAAAAAACTTCATCTTTTTTTAAAAACTCAAGCATCTACAAGAAGAGCCATTCCTCCCACTTATTCTGCCCACTGCCCCCTAAATATGATTCTGAACTTTTCCCTCTCCTCACCAAAACATGAGTCCATGGCTACTCTCTCCCGCACTCCGCTCCCGCCCCTCCTCCAGCTGCCTGAGTCCGGCCCCGTGTCTGTTATCATACGGACAGCCCCTGTGACATACCATTCGCCTGGTCTCTGACTTCCCTTTCGAACAGCCCTTCCTCACCTACCTTCTATACGGTGCTGCTAGAACACTCCAGAGAAGACCCCAAACAAACCAAGTGTCGCCCACGCTTAAAATAAACCTAGGACTTTTCTCTAAATATTAACATCTAAGCCTTCATGGAATATAAAGCCTCTTGTTTTACCTGTAGGTGCAGAAAGCCTCATCCCCTCTGAGGCACCCATGCCCTTCTTGAACCCTGAGCTCCAATCTTTATCAACGATACCTGAATTCCAGACCTATGCTGTTAATCACAAAGGCCCTGTGCTCGCACTGCTCCATCTTTTGAATTCCCATGCTCCCTTCCTTACTCAGTGTATACTTTTTCCCCATTTTAAAACAATTTCATTCCAGGAGAGTTAACATACAGTGTTATATTAGCTTCAGGTGTACGATATACACTGACTCACTCTTCCTCATCTGTCCAGATCTAGCTCACGAATCACCTCCTCTGTTAAGTCTTCCCAACCGACCGACACAGACAGTCAGCCAGCCCTCCTGTGACAGCCCTTCATCTGTGTACATAGCTCTGCTGCAGCGTATCACACTCTAATGCGATTAGCTGACAACATGTCTGTCTCCCGTTGTGAGCTGTGAGCTCCTTGATGTCAGTGGTTGCTTTTGAATCCATCATTACATCCCCTGTGCCTGTGATAAATAAAGGAAATTAAAAAGTAGAATACAGAATGAAATTATGACCTCAGACAAATAACGTAGCCTGAATGTTAAAGCACGCCCCCACCTGGTAACTAACGGTTTTCTTTCCATCACTTCCAGTCTGCGGTAAAGTCAGTGGTCCAGACACTATCCAAACATCTTCAAACCTCTCTGTCAGTTCTCGACAGTATATTTCCATTCTGAAAAACAGCAAAAAAAAAAAGGCATGATACGCTCAGACATAAATACAGAAAAGAAGCAAACCATTACCAAATCCCCAGGAAAGACAGCAGGAATACCGAATTTCACAAATGAATGTGAACAAGACAACATTGTGAGCATATGAGCAATAACTGTCCCTGTCCTTCACTGCAGAAACTTAACAATTATACACATTCATACAACCACCTACATTTTCCTGTGTGTGCACTGTGTACGTATTTCAGAACTGAGATTCTATTTTGTTTTATGCCTTATCTTTCTGTGTTGTAGTTCTCAATCTTTTTCAAGAGTTATATATCATTTCAACAAGTTGATCCACCTCATTTATTTAGCCATGCCTCCTGTGGGGCAAATGGGTTCATCCTAACACTTCTCACATAAGGCAACATTCCTTAGGATGAACCTCAAGGGCCAGAACTGCTTTACGGAATGCATATTTTAATAACACTTGATTATATGCAGCAGTATTTTTAATGGTATTGTGCCAATTTACTCTATAGACTCCAAAACCGGACACTGTAGTTTCACAACAATCCTTACCACACTGGGATTTATCATTTAAAAATGACTGCCAATTTACTAGATAAAAATGGCAAGTAGTTTAATATGCACTTTCTTACACTGCAGTTGGGAGAGATTTATGAAAAATTACAATGCACGTTATCATCCCTCAGCTTCCATATCTAAAAAATAAAATCAACGGTATTGTACTTCACAGCATAAATGCCTAATTATCAGGTAAATTCCCCTCCCAAAATATATCCTTTGGGACAGGAAAATGTTAAATGCTTCCACAGGTATGCAACCAGCCAAGACAAAAAGGAAACTATAAGACAAATATCCCAGGTCTTCAACAAATAATTTGCAAGGACAAAAAAAAAAAAAAAAAAGAATTAGAAGGGAAACCTACAGATGAAAAGAATATAAAGTGAACATATCACCCAAATCTATATGCAGACCCTGTTTGAATTCTGATTCAAACCAATCAACCAGAAAAAAAATTAAAGAGAATCAGAGAAACTTGAACACTAATTGTAAAATTGGTAACAAGGAATTACTGCTAAATTTTTAGGAGTAATGATAGCACTTTGCTTCTATTTTTTAAAAACCCTTATCTTTTAGGGGCACCTGAGTGCCTCAGTTGGTTACGCATCCGACTCTTGATTTCAGCTCAGGTCATGATCTCACAGTTCATGAGTTTGAGCCCCGTGTCAGACCCCTCACTAACAGCATGGAGCCTGCTTAGGATGGTTGGGGGGTTTTTTTTTTTTTTTTTTAAATGTTTTATTTATTTCTAGCAGAGAGAGAGAGAGAGAGCGCGAGCAGGGGAGAGTCAGAGAGTGAGGGAGTCACAGACTGAAGCAGGCTCCAGGCTCTAAGCTGGCAGTCAGCACAGAGCCCGACGCGGGGCCCGAACCCACGAACCGCGAGATCATGACCTAAGAGAAAGTCGGACGCTTAACCGACTAAGCCACCCAGGCGCCCCGGTTGGGGTTTTTTTTAAGTTTATGTATTTATCTTGAAAGAGCAGCATGTGTCTCCTCGGGGAAGGAGGAGAGAAAAAGGGAGAGAGAGAATCCCTAGCTGACAGCATGTAGCCTGACATGGGGCTCGATCTCACCAACCATGAGATCATGACCCGAGTGGAAATCAGGATGCTCAGCTGACTGAGCCAGAGGCACCGCTCCAAACCGGATGATTTAATAGTTAGGTTCTATCAAAAACTGGTTAACAGTTACATTCAATTGTACCAAAACTTAAAAAAAAAAAAAAGCCCAGCAACTCTTGAAATACAGGTAGAAAAAAAATACATAGTGTCCTCTGGACATACTTAAGAAGTTCCTAACGCCCCTGTGATATTTTGAGTAGTTTCTTCCCAAATTTGACTTCTGACCAGTGGCAAACATGACCTACATGGCTGGCAGCTTTGACGTCTGTGCTCCCACAGGTCACTGCACCAAGACAGAGCAGGGACCGCTGGTCCAAAGCACTTACCATCAGCAGGGCCAGCCTTTGATAAACAAAGAGAAACGGCTGATGGGTGCACTAGTACATTCTCTGGAAGCATCATTCATGTCCCACAGAATCATATTTTAAAACCCTCATCCCAGAGCGCCTGGGTGGCTCAGTCAGTTAAGCGTCCGTCTTCGGCTCAGGTCATGATCTCACGGTTCGTGGGTTCGGGCCCCGCGTCAGGCTCTGTGCTGACAGCAGAGCCTGGAGCCTGCTTCAGATTCTGTGTCTCCCTCTCTCTCTGACCCTCCCCTGCTCACACTGTCTCTCTCTCTCTCTCTCTCAGAAATAAATAAAACATTAAAAAATTAAAAAAAAAAAAAAAACACTCATCCCTCACCTGTTCCAGTATCCAGCATTATTATCAAAATTCTGAGGCACAATATTAGAAAGGTAAAAGGTTTCAGCCATGGCTTGCTGTAAAAAGAAATAAAAAGAGTAACCTGCACGGAAATGCCTTCCTCTTTCAAATTTTACAGAGACACAAAAAACCAGTTCCTTAAACATTAGCTCTAGGCAATTACAGTGACCACTGTTGAAATAAATGAAAGCCACAGTTACTCCAGGTCACAAAGCCCCATACAGATTATTCAAAATAGGGACTATAACAAAATAAGCAGTTTGGTATCCTAGCTTTCTTTATAATTCTTAAAGTTCAAACCTGTTATACAGACTCTAAGAACGAAGTTTCCAATATAAAGCTAAAGGGTAAGTTTTTGCCCTCTGGCAAAGAGTTTCTCCATAAAGGTCACCTTTCAGAAACTTTACTTGAGTAATATAACACAAACATTTTAGTAAAAAGTGGAAGAGAATTCCTTGTTCTTCTGAATTTCTGGTCACTATGTGTTCATTCATTTCACACTTCTGACTCATAAATATGAGGCTGTCATTGTATTTTCTTCCACTGATCTATATTAACTGCCAATGCCATCAACTACCTTCTCTTCAAGCAATGGTTCTCAACCTTGAATGCACACTGAGAGAGAGCTTTAAAAATACTGGTGCCGGGGTTCCACACCCCTAGAGTTTTGGATCTAACTGCTCTGGGCATCGGGATTTTTTAAAACATGCCAAGGTGATCATGAGTATCTGAGGCTAAAAACCACTACTTTAATGACAATAGTCACCAAGGTTGATGCAATAAATGTCCATGTCATAAAAGACACTTCTCTCCTTCTTTAGCAGAGAACTTCTCCTAAAGTAAAGGACACTAGAAAGACATGACAGCTAAGTGTCGCATGCGATTCATGACTGAACACTGGATCACAGAAAGCTGTAAAGAACACAACTGCAACACCTTGGCAAATCTGAGCAAGAATTGTATATTAGAGATTATTATTATTATACAAATATTCAAAAATACATATACACACACTTCTTGGTATAATTATACTCCGGTCATATATACAAATATCCTCATTTCTTAGATGATACAATCTCCTAATATCTATTTAGAGATAAAGTGTTATATACTGCAACTTACCGTTGATGGTTAAAAAAGGATTTTCTATACGTACATATGTATGCACACATAAAGGAAACGTATCAAAATGTATTTGCTCTACTATCTTTTCAATTTTTCTACAGGTAAAAATGTTTCTGTTGTACTCTCAACTTTTCTACAGGTCTGAAATCTTTCAAATAAATGTAAATAAATTCATAAATAGCTCCTAGTGGCCCTCCAATTCTTTTACATAGCATTTAGTTTCACTTTTCAACCTGTTTAAGAAAGTCTCACCATCTGACAAAAGAATTAAAGTCAGGAAGAAAAGTGCAAAATAAGCGTATAGCAACCCTCAAATATTAAGGTTTGACTCCTATGTTCTTAATGTCCAAGCCCCAAGGGGCACAGACCACTCAAAACATATGCCTACAGATGAAAATTTGTTATTTCCTGCTGGAGCCATGTGTCCTCGTGACCACCCGCTCCCGACATAGTCTTCATTGAAGGCACTGAAGGTTGGAGGGATGTTGGGATCAGGCTTGAATTTACAATGTTTTCTGTCCGCATCACCTACAGAAAACACACAAAATGGGTTCGTTATCAGTGGATAAATATTCCTCAAGATTCTCCAAGCAAGGCAAGCTGTTTGCTGCTGGCTAGTATCTCTCCGAGTAGCTAGTACTAAGCGATTGCGTGCATGTCTCAAGTTCCTGGGATAGTTCAGATACCTCATCTGAATTTAGCAAGGACTAGTCTAGGAGAGAATGCTTTCCCTACAGTGTAGTTATCTCATATTCTTTTGTTTCTAGCCTTTCAAATTAAAGGAGAAAAATCCCCTCAGCAGTATTTAACTAAAAACACTGACCAATCAAATAGGTGAACTATATAAAAAACTGACTACTAAATTAACTCTTGCTTTTTAAAAGACCCTCATGTATTGTATTGTGTGCAACTGCATTTGATAAGTTTATATGTACTGAAATAATGGATATATATAGACACAAAACACTTTGTCCTGGGCAGGCACAGCCTAGGGGAGGGTGAAAGTGTCTCTGGTATCTTGCTTGCCGCCTCTTAAGCCATGGTAAAACAAACATCTAGGTTATGAGTTCAACCCAGAAATTCCTGAAACAAAGTATCTGAGTACGAATGGGAGAGAAAAAAAAATCTCGATTTTATTTATATTCTGACTCCCCGCCAGAATAGTTTGCCACAGTGGATACCAGCAAATCCTAACACTACATTTTCCATTGCCATTAGGCCAGATCTTGCTAAACTGCAAAAATAATGAGGGTAAATGAAACATACGCAGGCTGCTATTCAAAAAAGTTTAAAATGGAGACCAATGAAGTTACGGATTCCAGTGTCTTTTCATTCAGCTAGAAAAATGTTAAATGATCAGACCCCAAGACTCAGAATAAATTATCTGCTACCTAGCTTTTTAGAACCATGCCATAAAGAAAAAAATACAGAAGAGTTGTTAGTAAACATCTCTTAAGTGTCATTACCACTGGAATCACTTCCTTGCATGCCTGGTTATCTTGAAAATTCACTTGTGGGAATCTCCGAAGGCCGAGGAGGAAGATGCCTTCCTTGAGATGGATATAAATTTGCTTCTATCGGGTGCCTGGAGGCACGGCCAGTGGAAGACCACACGGAACCCAGTTCAGGACGGAAGGACTTGGTCTGCACAGGCTACATGGTTTTGGGCTGTAAGTGTGCATGATGACCAGTAGGTGGCCTCAACTTCTCTGGAACAAGTTTTTTCTTTTCCTTTTGACCCTCTTCCACTCTGTCAGGATAATCTTCCACGAGGCCCTGATGGTGACCAGGCAGGTTGGTTCTGGTTCACCCCCCGCCCCCCCAGGGTGAGGCCCTCTGGGGTGCAGGCTAGCGTGGGAGGGTCTCCGATAAGACAATCGACCTTGGTGAGCCCTAGGTCTTGCCTGCAGTCCCCCATCCCTGCAAAGGTACCGAATCAAAAGTAGCGTGGCTTTGGTTTAGCAGGACTGCCCTTGCCTCTCCGGATTCTAGCTCTCCCCCAAATCCTGGTTTGGCAATTCACTACGATCATGTGGACGTGTGTGTGTGTGTGTGTGTGTGTGAGACTTTTTTCTACCTACTTCTTACATACTACTAACATTTCCTGTCATTATTTTTAGCAGAGTGAATCTGAGTAATTTAGTGTGTCATTACTGAAAACAGAAGACTCTTTAGACTAAAATCGAGTAAATCTCAGGAATACTGCTTCCTGTTCTCAATTATTACTTTACCTCCTCAAATTACACAGCTCCCAGGATTTATAACATGAAGTGCCTTGCTCTTCTTATATGCCTCGGAAAATGGGAATTTAATAGGAGGGTAAAATTAGAAAAACCGAAATTCCTTACAACTTGGGAAAAGTCTTGTTTTTAAGGGAAATTCATCAGGCTTGAGACTAAATCAAGTGAGTTTCTCTTGATGTAAGTTTCTAATCAACTCTCAACTGCTATGATAAAGTTTCCAATATATCAGTTTCCTTCTAGCAGCTAGCAGTCTAAGGCTTCTGCTATTCTGTTGGCTGGTTTAACTCGAGAGAGGCACACACTCAGATAAGTATCAGCATTTTAATACATATAAACATAACATGCCCTGTAAAGCAAAGGAGAAATAATGTGTGGGCCTTACAGCAAATCAGAAGCCAAATGAAATATGAATAAACAACTACAACAAAAGGTAGTACCTTATTACATAAAAGAACTCCCACAAAGCAATGAAAAAAAAAAATAAAAACCACATCCCAACTGAAAATGGTAACAATAACTGACAAAGAAAGAATAATTCACAAAATACTAACTTTCACTGGTAACCAATAAATGGAAATAAAATCAGCTATTAAATTGGTAAAGCTCAATACTGTTCATTATGGGTGAGAAAGCAAGGACAAGTAGTTAACGGTAGATTAATCTACACAGAAACCAACTTCATGTTAAATATCATCTTAATTACAGGAATGCACCAAGACTCGAAAAACACGAACAGACTGGCACACCTGCTATCTCTCCTGTCTCACTTCACACATTCCCCCTTGCTCTGGCCACTCTGGCCTTGTTTGTTCCCTAAAGGAACAAAACTCTTCACATTGGGGCCTTCAAAGATGCAACCGTGCTTTTCTTTCTGTCTGGAACGCTCCTGTCCACATGCCATGGCCCACCCAACTCCTCTGCCTAGGGAACAGCCATCCGCCCTCTGAGCCACTTTCTTGGGAGAACCCTTGCTAGTCAAAATCAGGTTCTCCTATACCGTCTCTTATCACACTCTTTACTGTTCCTTATTTATACTAACCCAACTTTCAGTCACTTGTTCTTCAGAATAGTTATTACCAAAAGCAAGTATACCTACAGGATTATTGGTTTGATAGGTCAACCCATCCCCTCACCTGACTCAAAGTGCCATGAACAGAGAGACCAGCTGCTCCCGTCCCAAGGCTCAGCAAAATGCCAAATATATGGCAGGCACTTTAAAAATACTTGTGGAGATAATGAATGAATGATGCTAGCTGTAGCAGTATTTAGGACAGAGCTTCCAACTCCTATGTCAGGATATGGATCCTCTCAGCCCCTGAGGAAGCTGGGAAGAGTCTGGGGCTCCTTAGCTACCAGTAGGTCCATTTACCGAAGCGAGGCATACAAACATCACCATTTTCTGAAAGTGCTATAATGTAGAAAATGTTGACTCAATAATCTTCCTTGTTCTAAATTTGGAAACATCTTTCATCAATGCCATTACTTCCAACCACCTACCCATTATCTTGCTTTTGGATATATGTTCAAGAACCCATCTAGGCACCCGCTTTGACTGATCATAAGACAAGGCATGATTAGTGTAATGCCTAGTCTCTGTTCCAGTTAAAGGGACTCCAAATTGTTCCAAGAGAGCTTTTTCTGCACAACCTAAAAATGAAAAGGGGGGCGGGGGAACAAAAATAACAAAAGGTTAGTGACTCTTACTAGAAACAAAAAACTATAAGTAAAGGGAGAGGGGTGAGACTTACCAAGGGCTGGCTTAAAAGTCTAATCAACTAGGTATCATTTTGCAATTACAATATGAACTTGGTTTGCGAGCATAATTCATTCCGGAAACATGCTTATAATCCAAAGCACTTGTATATCCAATGGAAGACTACGTGGCAAAGAGGAAGAATGAAATCATGCCATTTGCAGCAACGCAGATGAAACTGGAGAGTATTATAGTATGTGAAATCAGTCAGTCTGTATGTGGAACTTGAGAAACTTAACAGAAGACCATGGGGGAAAGGGAGGGGTAAAAAATAGTTACAAATAAGAGGGAGGTAGGCAAACCATAAGAGACTCTTATATACAGAGAACAAACGGAGGGTTGATGGGGGGATGGGGAAGGGAGAGAAATGGGTGATGAGCACCGAGGAGGGCACTTGTTAGGACGAGCACTCGGTGTTCTATGTATGCGATGAATCACGGGAATCTATCCCCAAAACCAAGAGCGCACTGTACACACTGTATGTTAGCCAATTTGACAATAAATTATATTTTTAAAAATATTTATTTTTTTTAAAAAGCACTTGTTTATCAAAGTGAATTTCAAGAGCCATTGGCTCAGTTGTGATCATGCACCATTTGGTATTCGTACGACTCCAAGACATCGCTCGTCGGTCAAGTTAAAACGTACTGAAGTCTTAGCGCATCTTGCAGGAACATGCGCAGAACGAGTGGCTCGCGGTCCAAGGTTTTACTGTGCTTCCAAGGCAGGGAAGAGACCACAGACGCTGTGAACAGTCAATCGTGTCGTTTTATCGAGATAAACTGCGGCCGGGGCACCTGGGGGGCTCAGTCGGCTAAGCGTCCGACTTCGGCTCAGGTCATGATCTCAGGGTTCGTGGGCTCGAGCCCCGCGTCGGGCTCTGTGCTGACAGCTCAGAGCCTGGAGCCTGTTTCAGTCTGTGACTCCCTCTCTCTCTGCCCCTCCCCAGCTCACGCTGTCTCTGTCTCTCTCAAAAATAAATAAGAAACATTTTTTAAAAAGAATTAAAAACAAAGGTACTCTGCGCTATCTCGTTAACTTTTAAATGCAGACCGGTCTCACTGGGCGTTCACACCGAACGCCGCGCCTCCCCCATCCAGTACCCGGCACACAAACGCAGCGAAGGGAACCCCGCCAAGAGGGGTCGGCGGGCGCGCAGGAGGCCCGCGTCCACGGACCGCCTTCTACCACGTTCTGCAACGGGCGCAGGGCTTGCCCCGCACGACGGGCCAGGCCGGGGTCCCGGCGGCAGAGCCCGCCGCGGACGCCCTCCCCCGCCCCGGGGTGCTTCTCCGCCGCACGCCCGGCGCCGGGAGGGGGCAGTCGGCACGCGGGGCGGGGGAGGAAGGCGCGCGGGCGGACACCTCAGGGGCGGGCCCGGCGGCTGGACCGCCCGCGGCGCCGGCGGAAGGGCCCCCCCCCTCCCCCGGGACGCCGCTCGCCTCCGGCCGCCGGACTCGCCTGCGGCCTCGCCGGCGCCGGCTTGTCCTGAACTGGGAATTCTGGTTTTTGGTTTTTTTCCTGACAGGATAACCGGACAGGTTGGTTTCGGGGTGAAAGCGGCTGCCCCCCATTTGCACGAGGACACAGTGAGGAACTTTACCGCGTCTGCGAGTAAACGGCAGGGCAGGCCGACACTTACCGTCGGGCTCCCTCCCCGCCAGCGCCGCCTCGGCGCCCTGGCCCCGGAGCAGCCGCAGGGCCGTGAGCCCGCCTCCCGCCGCGCCCACCACCGCTCCGGCCACGAAGGCGCTCAGTAAGCGCCGGGAGCCCCTGAGGCGGGAAGCGAGCCTTCCCGCGGCCATCTTTCCGGAGGGCCCGCCTTCCGCAGCGGCGCATGCGCACAGCTGCACGCTCGCCTGGGAGCCGAGCCCCGCCGCAGGGCCAAGACGCGCGTGCGCAGCCCGGGGCCGCCCGGAAGCCTCTTCGGAGACCCCAGACGTGAGGGCGCAGGCGCACACCCTCCGCGCTGAGCGCCTCGGGAGCCCCCTGGTGGCACAACTGGAGGCCCAGGTGTATCCCCGCTGCACCCGGGTCCCTGGGTCCGGTGATGGGGGGAGGCGCGACGTCTGGAGGGCGCAGGGGCGTGCGTGCAGAGTCCTGACAAGAAAGGACCTTCGGGGCCGCGTAATAGCTGAGCAGAGACCGTTTGCACACGGTTACGGTGAAGGCCTCGGGGCCACGAGTCCAACGCCGGGCTCCTTGCGAAGCCTGGGCCACGTTGGATGGCTTCGCCTGGCGTGACGTCACAGCCAGGAGCCCTCACGCTTTGTACGTGCTAAGGAGGGCCCTGAATCGGGGGGCGGGGGCCGCGGAGCTCAGCCGCTCTCCACCTCGGCTGTGCCCCAGCTTTCCGGGCTTCTGGCTCCTCCTCTTCAGGTGGGAGTCAGGGATTCTATCGTTTATGAAAGAGAGATTAAGTGTGTATATAAACAAACAAAATAATTATGAAGATGATTAGCCCATAGGCTTCCGGCCAGGATTAACGATTACCACGTAGAGGGGCGCCTGGGTGGCCCAGTCCGTCAAGTGTCCGACCTCGGCTCCGGTCAGGATCCAGCCATCCTGAGTTCGAGCCCCGCGGCGGGCGCTGCGCTGACAGCTCGGAGCCCGGAGCTGCTTGGGACTCCGTGTCTCCCTCTCTCTCTGCCCCTCCCCTGCTCGTGCTGTTTCTGTATCAATAATTAATAAACATTAAAAAAAATTTGTTTTAGGGGCGCCGGGGTGGCTTAGTCGGTTAAGCGTCGACTTTCGCTCAGGTCGTGATCTAGCGGTTCGTGGGTTCGAGCCCCGCATCGGGCTCTGTGCTGACTGCCAGCTCGGAGCCTGGAGCCTGTTTCAGTCTGTGACTCCCTNTCGGGCTCTGTGCTGACTGCCAGCTCGGAGCCTGGAGCCTGTTTCAGTCTGTGACTCCCTCTCTCTCTGGCCCTCCCCTGCTCATGCTGTCTCTCTCTCTTTCCTAGAAATAAATAAAAACCTTTAAAAATTAAAAAAAAAATTTTTTTTAATTAAAATAAAGATCACCATGTGGAGTTTAGGAAAAAACCTGGAGTATGTCATTAAGTGCTCTGTAAACATCAGCAATTTTTACTTAGTCCTCTTTTGTCTTGACAGAATATAAATCCAGACTGAATGCCTGCTGACAAAGGAAGGAGGTGGCTTATTCGCTCCCACTCAGAATAAATTTGCAGCGCAACGGAGAGCACTCCACGGGGACGGAAGCTGGAGGCTCTTTCCCACATCCAGCTAAGGAAGCAGATGTCTTGACAGCTTCCAGATTCCGTGCCCCCTGCCCAGGAATGCCTATTATAAAGTGGTTCTGTGCAATCGGTCCCCTACCTCTGACCCTAACTGGGTGAGCTAGGTCAACCAGAATCTTTCCAGGGGTTGTGGATCTGGACGTCTCTCCAGGTAGCAGAGCTGTGACATTTGAACCTCGGGCACTATCTAGCTTTGTCTCCTGCTAAGGGGACAAAGCAGCAGATGCATCTGGCCTTGCAGGAGGCAGCAGAGGAGGAAACGCTGAGACGTACGTGAAGGGTCTGCGACGCTGTGACGCCAGCTTCCAGGACTCCTGAAGCCCCGTCGCAGCTTGCCTGTACCCAAAGCTTGCCTGGCCCTTTGCCCCAGGATCCTTCCAGCAAAACCCGCTTTTTGTTTAACGGCTTCTGTCATTTGCAATCAAGAGTCCCGACAAAAACAACCAGACAACGCTGGTGTTAACTGTAGCTTTCAAAGCTACCTCAGCAGTTCCTACCAGAATTTACTACATACATTCACTTAAGAGCGGTTTCCTTCTCAAGGGCCTCCTAGGTGCCACGTGCTGTGTTGAACACCAGAATGAGAGAGAAACGGTAGGGGACTCTTCCTCAGCCAGATCCTGGAGGCGGAGACAAGTGAACCCCACACTTGGCCCCAAGGGGTCAAGAACTGGAAGTAAGGGCTGCCTGACTTAGGGTAGCGTGTCTCCCTCTGGGCCAGTTTGCCCACCTTTAAAATGCAGGGATCGGACCAGTGGTTTTTAAACTGTAACCAGGGGGCCCCCAGAGTGCCGTAGGGCACTGAAGGGAAGGCTTAGTGGCCCCTGAGGCCTCTTCTACTTGCTCACCTGAGCAAGCCTGTTTTTAGAAATCGGCTTCTGCGTCCAATTTCTTCCGGAGAAAGAATTCCTTTGCTTACGGAAAAGCGTGACCAGATGCCTCTGGTCCAACCTGCCAGTATTTCTAGCTTTAAGGTCCCCATTCAACCAGGTTAGCCCTGCTCTCCTTCTCTGTGCTTATCGTTAGGGACGTCCACTAATAAAAGGTGAACTGTGTAAATCTGAAAGAGCAAAATGGACCGACAGCTGGGCAACTGGTCCCAAAATAAAGGGTCCCTTCATCGAAAACTGTTCTCTAAGCGTTCCAAACAGGTTGGTTAATCCTTTTAAAGCACGAATAGAAAGGCCCCGCCCCTACCAGGAGGCGGCTTCAAAGCCGGTGTTTCTCCACCTGGCAATGCTTAGCCACGGGCCAAGAAAATCTTCTGTGTTACTGAGGGAAGCGGTGAGGGGGTTGCTGGGGCTTTCCTGTTTTGTTAGGCAACAGACTATCATCTTATTCACAGGGAACCATGTTCTCATCTAGTGAGAAAAGTCGGGAACCCCAAAACGTGAGATTTGGCCTGCTGATTCGGATCCAGAGTGGGGCCCGCTACCTGTATTATTTTGTAGGGACCCTGGCACCCAGCTGCGTTTAGAAACGGCGGAGCCTGCATTCTGCAGCAATCCTCCAGAACACTTACTTGCTGGGCTTCCCGGCTCCACTGACGGAGGTACTGCCCGGGGCGGTCTGCGAGTGCAGAACTGGGGGCAGTGGGTAAAGCTTGCACATCCGGTAAATATGCCACTGCCGGGCGCGAGCTCGCCCCGAGTCCCAGGACAGTCCACTTAGGGGAGGCCCACAGGGTCCGTAAGTAGGTCCTGAGCTCCCGAAGGGCAGAAAAGAAGAGGCGTGCTGAGCTGCGGGGCCGCAGGACGCCGGCAGAGCAGCTACTCAGCCGTGAACAACTGCCTGTGCGCCGCGCTCCTAGGGCGTCCGAGTTGGCCCTGTCAAGTGCAGGACACCCCTGTACTTACTTGTCGGCCTTGTCACAGGGAGGACACCGTTGCACGTATTTCTAATTCCCGTGAAAAGACACCTCGGTCCCCGGCCATGTGATTAAGAGAGACAACAGGGTAGTTTTATTATTATTTTTATTATTTTATTTTCATATACAAAAAGATAAAACTTGAAATAGCTCTAGATTTTTCCTCCTATTCCGTTGGGGTGTGGCTGCTGCTTCACACAGAGGGAAAAAACTACATTCACATCGGTTTATTTGAGGACCCAGTGCAGAGTTCAAGCAGCGAAACCCCAACTTAGCAGATCTAATTTCAAACTTGACACTCATTTCTAAAATTACCACAGTAAAAAGGAACGAAGATCCACTGCAAATGAATGAACTATGATACAATGTTCTTTCCAAAATGTCTTCATTTTGCAACTGTAATTACACGGATGTCTGCTTTAGGCCATTTTAGACGTGTGCATGTGTATAATATGTGTGTGTGTGTGTGTGTGTGTGTACTTTATATATACATACACACATATAAAGTCCACACACACTTTTCAAATCCAGACAGGGTAACAGCAACAAGCTTAACTCTGTGTGTGTGCGCGCGCGCGCATGTGTATTTTAAACATGATACTTTAACTTTTGTTAATTCAGTAGTACAAGCTATTTCTGTTCTACAAGCTTTTTTATTTTATAGCTACAAGGGTGAAAAGTGACCTATTACATTTACAGCTCACATATCTTGGTATACAAACAGTACTTACTGAATTTGAGCCAAAAACTAGAAATCTGTATTTTTAGCACTTGAAGAGCTTCCTCACTTCTACAGCCTTAAGTTGTATACTCACATTTCCAGAGTTTGTAATTACTCATTGTTTTAAACTGCAAGAAACGGGTGAATCCAAACTTTTAATTACAATTGTTATATACAAGATGACACAGCTCAGTAAGACTTTGCTATCCATCCTAAACCCAACACACACATTCTCCACTAAGTTACACAAGTCCTTAGGATTTTCCTTCTTTTCCTTACAAACAATGTACAAATTTAGAAGTAGCTGGTAAAACTGGTACAAAAGATGGCAAGTGTTGGTTCCAAAATTGGTCCTGTAAATACCGTATTCCGCTGTGTTCTTTAACTGTGTCTGTTACGTGCAGAAGCTCTTTTCACAAGAATTGACATCAAACTCAATGGAAGTTAAATTTACAGTACTGTAAAGTTAATCAGATTCGAGGACAAATGTGAAAACTATTAACAGGTGAAAAATCCGGCCCTTTGACGCTGCCATTAAGATCCTGTCAAATTCATAAGCAGATTCTTTCATACAGTTGAAAGATGGCATCGTGTGGATTTGTGGCGTGGAACTGAAATCTAGAAGTACGCTTCTAGTCTGCGGTAACCCTCACCCTCAAGTCTTAAGTACCACTCGATTTTCTTTGCATTTTTACAGAGTTCTAGAAAAAAGAATGGGGGCGGGGGGAAGCTGCTGGCATTTTCACAATCCCTCCACTCCCAGGAGGTCTCCTAAGCTAACAGTCTCCGTATGGTCACCGGCTCCCAGACAGCCTTTGACAGTGACTTGGACACTTTCCAAACCAAAACCCAGATGTTGCCTCATCTTTCCTACTCTCGTCTCCGTCACTGCTGGTAACGTTCGAATGAGCGCATTTTTCCCTCATGGAGAAATTATTTGGCTACACGTGCACTTTGCTTGTGGCAGTGCCCGGAGAAAACCCCACGTGGGCTAAAGCACTAGCAGGGGCTGAAGTCCGCTCCGCAGGGCAGAGCGCGAACGCTTCGCGGGCTGATCGGAACACGCTGACCTTGGCCTCCCACAGTCAGCAGGCCAGCCCGCGGGCGGCCCCGCGCTGTGGCTGAGTTACCACTTTATCTCGGTCTGCCATCTGTGCCCCAGAGACAAGAATTCAGATGTGGTGACTGCTGGTTAATTAAACTTCTTGAACTGGTAAAAAAGGCTCTTTAAAAATATATATATATATATATATTTATTTAAAATACATCAAAACGACAAACAGCCACGTCCCGCAAGGCCTAAGTTCACAGCGACATAAGCTACAGACAGCTTCCCAAAATGCACAGTGGTGGGTGGTGGGCTTCTTAATCCTGCCATTTAAAGGAATGTCCTACATCTGAGTCTTAATGGCTGGAAACGTGTTACAAAGAGCTCATCTCTGGAACTCATCTGCGTGCCAAGAGCGGCCAGCCGGATCGCTTTGCCCCTGCAGACACGAGAATACTGAAAACGGCAGGGTTCAGAGGAAGCCGGGAAGCACCGTTCCGGGGGCGCCCTGGACCCATCCCGCCACGGTGCGGTGAAGGGCCGGCCGGGAGCCCCCGTCCGTCCTTGGGAAGAGGCGCTGGGAGGCCAGTCAGGGCCCGTACTCGGCAGGGCTCCTGCGCCAGCGGGACAAGCCTGCGGGACCGGGGGGCCCGGACGGTGACAGTGTTCAACGTGAGGTCTGAGGTAACCGGTTCTTACGACGCCTGGGGCACAGAACTGCGTCCAGAAATCACAGCTGGGACAAAGGAAAAAGCTGGGGTTTCGGGCTAGAAACGACAAGTAGAAAAAAGCTTACAGCAGTTGCTTTTGGGGGGAGGCAGGAGACAAAATCAAAGGCACAAGAGAAGTGCATTCCAAGACGCGCGGCTGGGGACAGGGCGAGGAGCGGCGGGTCAGCCCCCGGGGGCGGCGGGACCTGCCGCGACTCCGCGCGTCCCCAGTACACACGGGGGCAGGTGTAAAACCTCTCCCTGCGCCGGACCGAGTCAGACGCGCAGCTGGCTTGAAACGACACACGAGGGGTTCTCCAGACAAAACCGTCCCAACCCGAGCAGTTCTGGGCGCAGCAGCGGGGGGCCGGCGAGCAGGCCTTCGGCGGGGCCTCGGGGCTGGCGGTGACCACACAAAGCATTAGCTTCATTCTTCACCGGCCCTGTGTCCCCACCAAAAAGCCTCACCCGAAGAACCACCCGCTTCCTACCCCAAAATAAAAAGGCCAACACGACGACGGCCACCCAGGGCCGCGGCCGCCCTCCGCAGGGAGAGCGGGAGGGGCGGGCGGCTGGAAGGTGCCCTCGGGCCCGGGGCCCCGAGCTTCCCCGGGGGGCTCCCGGCTGTGACGCGCTACATGTCCAGGGGCCCCGGCCGGAGAGGGCACCGCGCGCCTGGCAGCCCCCTGCTTAACTCGATCGCTGTGTCCACGCACCACCCTCCTTCGCTGAATAGTTCCCAAACTGGAAATTCTGACTTAAAAACTGGATACTTTGGTCCTAGATAACTCAGTGTTGTGGATGACTCAAATCACCAACCTCTCGTTTCAGATGTCTCCAGCCTGAGTCCTACTCGGCCGGCCCGCCCCGCCCCCAGCCGCGCGCCCATCTAATTTCGGTTCCTCCCAACACCCGCGTGCGACTAGGCCGGCGGCAGGAACGCACCAACGCCTCCCTGGTTTCAGAACCCTTTGTTCAGAAGAAATCTCAGGAGGAAGCACAAATGCAAAACACACCACAGGCTCCGGCCTCCCAACGTGCAGGGAGCTGAGCCGAAGCATCACGGGCCCGCGCGGCCCCACGCGGGGTTTTGGCCAGACAAGACCCAGCGCTGGCCTCCCGGCCGCCGGGGTAGCAGGAGTCCAGAGCGCTCGGTAAAGGCTTCCACCACCCACACTCCAGTGTACGTTTATCCTGAAAGGTAAAGCTCGTTCCTCGGATTACAAAACCACTCTCATCAAACTCACTAGACTTTATAAAAATAATCTGTGGTATAAAACAATCTCCACGCTGTGCAGAAGAATCTGTCAGGTGATATAACTAAATATATATGTAGAGCTATAGACTTCGTAAAGTAATTCAAGTGTCGTATCTCTATCATATAAGCTACTCTTCTATTTACAGTGCTACCCAACAACGTCCCGATGCAAACGTGACGGGGACACGGAGGAGGAGCCCGCGCCCAACCACCAGCACACACTCCCAGGACTCCGGACAGAACGCATCCGTTTGTAAAAACAAAACAAACACAAACACCATCCTCACCTGCCTAAAAAGCATTAGCTAATAATGGGTCATAGTTTTCATAACCGTGAGCTAAAAAATGTAAACTTTGCAGATACATGTAACACTTTCCCACGGATGTCCAGGAGAGCCCACGTTTGAATCATCCACTGCACACACGCGCCCAAGCGCACACTTCCCTGGGGGCCTGTGGTCGGCGCGCAGTGCTTCTCAGAAGTGCGCGGGCCCCAGACGGTGCAAGGAGAGCCCCGGAGAGGAAGGGCAGCACAGGACCCACCACACACACTGGCGTCTGGAGACCCTGCGCTTTAACTCAGGAGGAAAAACCACTTGTATCTATCACCTCTACAAGCTACCACGGTTGCAAATGAAGTACCACGGGTTTGGCACGACAGGGGTGCACGGGGGACCCCAGTCACCAAGTCCTCTTCGTTCAGACCTGGAAGATACAGTCACCACAATGCACAAGCTTGGTAAAATTTAAATAGTGGTAAATCCTTCAAATTCAAAAATCTTGTCCAAACCAAAGCGTATAATGGACCCAAGAGGAGTATAAAATAGGAAGATTCAAATTATCCCTCTAGATAATTTGGAATTTTATTGGCTGAGTTGATGGGTCTCTTGGACCCACAGGTTTTAAAATGTAGCTGAGTCAACTGAATTGATTTCCAAGGGGGGGCATCTTGAACTTCAGTTTCTTTTTGCTTCAAAACTAAATCATTATCTTAAAAAACTATTCTAAACCTTCTAAAGGTTCGGGATACATTCATAGGTGGCTTGCTGGCTACAAATCAACCGCCAAGAAGCTAACTGAAACCACCATGCGTATAACCCTGAACTCCTTCCATCTACACCGAGACGTCCAACAGTTCGTCAGCTGCATTACTGGGCGTGCTTCTTTACCTAAAACGTCACTGTTGATAAACACTTAAACGCGTCATTACTGGGCTGAACGGTCACGTAAAGTAGCTACTGTTTTATTAGTTCAGCTTTTACAAACAGCCACCAACCAAGGAATTCACGGCACCCAACGAGAAGAAGCCACTGTTTTCTCTCTATCCTTTCTGGTTGCTCATCGGTGGGGGGGGGGGGGGGGGGGGGGGGGGGGGGGGGTGTCGGTGAGTGAATTTACTGTGCTTCTCGGAGGGGGTGGCCTGGGGGCCCTTGAATGTGAACTGGGCCCGGCCAGCTCTCCCAAGTTGAGCGTTAAGAACCCAGCAGGCTACTGCAGTAGCGGAGGCTGAGCTCAAACGGAGTTAACTCCTGGGAAATGGCTTCCAATTCAGATGCTCATCTAACGAGCCGAGGTCTGAGGAGTAACACTTGGCTGTTCGACTTCCAGGACCCAATGTAAAACCTCACGGAGGCTCACACGTGCTTCCTGTACTGCCAGCGCCACCAGATCCTGGCGGGACCCAGGTGCTGGCAGCCACACCGCACCCTAGGAGAGGCAGAACCGCATGCGCAGGAGGCCGCCGGGTGCCCCTGCCCCACACGGCACAGCCGCCTCCGACCCTCCCGGCTCGGAGCCCAGCGACCCCGCGACAGGCTTCCCGAGCCACACACACCGCGAGTACGCGCGCACACGGCCGGGCTTGCCACCAGAGAAGCCCCCTCCCCCCGCCCACGCGCAAGGCGCGGAGTGCAGGGACAGCAAGGAGCCGGCACCTGGAGAGGAGGGGCCCCACAGGACGCGCGACCTGACAGGCAGGACCAAACACTGGCTCAGCGGCCTGGGGAGGGCAGGGCCTTCCTGCGCCGCGGGTATGTGAGCAGGGCCTCAAGCCGCTGAACGAGAGTTCGTTCTACGCCCGGGGCCAAGCCTAGGCCGGGGGACTAGTCAGACGCGGCCGGCACCCGCGGGGACGCTGCGCGCAGCTCCAGGACCCATGCGCGAGGCCGTGCCGGACGCGGAGGCCGCTGGCGCCCGCCACTGCTCCGCGGCCAGCGGCCCCAGGAGGAGGCCTGGGCGCCGCCGGTCCCTCGGGACTAGTCCAGCCAGGGCCTCCCCCGGCCCATCACTACGAGTCCCTCGCAGGCCCCCGGGACACGGGCCCGGCCTCCCACTGGCTTCCTCCCTGTCTCGCTCGCTCCCGGGTCTCGGGCTCAGCACGACCTCCTGGCGACCGCGTGCGCTTTCTCCCCAAAGAGCACCCGGCAGCCAGCAGGCTGCGTGCATGGCGGCACGAGACGGGAAGGAACAAGGACCCTGGGCCCCTCTCGGCCGACGCGGCCGCCCTCTCCCGCGGGAGCCAGTCCCCCCAAGAGCGTGGGGGGCGCGCGGGAGCCGTTCTCCGAGCCCCCCGGAAGCGGACGGCGCGAGCGTGGAATCTTCGAGGGCACGAGCACAGGCAGAGGCCCTGAACCCAACCGGCGCAACCAGAGCCCGAAGTGGTTCGCTCCCGGAGGGCAGCGACAGCCGACAGACGCTCTGTCTGGGGCAGAGACCTACCCAGGCTGCGAGCGGCGCGCCCGGAAGAAGACTGGTCTCCTCTCTCTGCCACGGGCGGCAGCGAGGGCGGTAGCCCGGGGGACGCTGCACAGCCCCGCGCCGGGGAAGGGCACCCCCGGGCCCCGCACCACACGGGAGCCACCTCCGGACACTGCGCTCTCGTGCCGAGACCCCAAAGCCAGGGGGAGCCCCCCACCAGAGGAGGGGCCTGAGGCCCACGGGAAGGGCTGCCCTGCGCCCCGGGTCCGAGCAGCAGGCCCCACGCCAGGGCCACAGCCGCGCCTCCGCAGCCGGCGGCCACGCGGAAGAAGAGTCGCCCGGACAAAGCCTAAAACCCAACGCAGACGCAGGGGTCCCGTGTCCCTCGCTGGCCGGGGCGGGGGGGGGGGGGGGGCCGCGGGGAACTCGCTACACGCGTTCGTTAGTGGTTCCTTGCGGAGGGAAAAGCGGACGCGGGAGAAGTCGAGATGCACTCACTGCCTGAGGTGAAAGCTAAAGAAATTAGATATGGCACTTTTCAATAAATAGTTTAAAGCTTTTTAAAGAAATAAGCGGAAAAGAAAAGCAACTGCTGTAAGGCCTGTTTCGCTGTTAAAAATTATTCCGAGGGAAGAAAAACACCACAGCACAAAATAGTTTTACTAAAAAAAAAAAAAAAAAAAAAAAGACGACACAGCTTACCAAAACCAAGCCACCAACCCGCCAGACACCACCACGACGGCACAGAGCCCGTCCCTGCAGTCGCCCTGGGCGGCTCGCGGCCTGGCCCGTGGAGCCGAGGGGGCTCCGCGCGGGCCACCGAGGCACCTCCCACGGCGCCCTGGGCCCAAACACGCGGAGGAGGAGCAGCGGCCAGGGCCGCAGACGCGGGGAGCGGGCGCCGTCGGGGGGCCGCCGCTGCCCGAGGGGAAGCGCCTCTCGCGGGCCCCAGGGCCGCAGTCTGACCAGGGCAAAGTGGGTTACCTGTCATTCGGAACACCGACCGGTCCGGCTGAGGGAAAGGTCTGAGCCTCCAGTAGGTCAAGAGGGGGCGCCCTCTCCCGCTGCCCCCCCAGTCAGCCTCGCCCATGGCTCACCCCCTCGCCTCCCCTCAAGAAGAAAAAGATCCAGTTTTTACATAGAAGTCTCAAGAAACCAGAGGGAAAAGCCTTCACAAACAAGAGTGACGAATGCCCACACGGCCCAGCCAGCCAGCCTACAGTCGGTGACAATTATTTACACGAGGGCGTGATCAAGCAAAAGTGGTAGCACTCCCTAGAAGACTCACATTTTTTTTCTTTTTCTCTAAATTTCTTTCAAACTTTCTCGTCATAAAAGCCAACTTACATTAAAATATACTCACTACGAGACAACACAACTAATAAAATATATAATAAAACTTACACAAGTAGAAAATTCTGAGGTATTTCTGGTTTGAGGTGGTCTGTGGTCGTGAAGTTTTAACTCTTTTTACGTTTCAAAATTTAAACCTCGGAAGCCACATAGCAAAGCATGTGTGTATGTGTGGATGTGTGTTTCGTTTTTCAAAACATTTGCATGTTTCATAAATTAAAAAAATTCCAATGTCGAAACAGCAGCATTAGGAACATTCACTGACTGGAGCAAGGTTATGGCGTAAGAGAGAAACGGTTTTTAGAATATGCACCTCGTTGAGAGGTCAGGCGGCAGCCGCGTGCGCGAGCCGCATGAAGGGACGGCAGGGTCCCCACACGGGGCAGAGCCCGCGCCCCAGCCAGGGACCCTTCTCGCCCCGGCCGCGCAGGCGGCTCCCTGAACCGCTCCAGGAGGAGGCCACGCATGCGGCTTCCTCCTCCGTGACACACGCGTGCAGCATCGTCTCACGAAGAATACAGTCACTGAGGCGTGACGACTGGCACCCTCACCTCACCTTAAAATCAGGGCAGAGGAAACGTCCCGTCCAACGCCCGGGCCCCAGGCGGTGGGGAAAGCGGGCCACGGCCTCCCCGGCCTCGGACTGTGTCCGGCCCCGCTCTGGCCCGCAGCGCGCGGCCTCCGCACGGCCCTCCCCTCGATGCCTGGTTACCTGAGAAGTCGCCTCCCGGCACAGGACGCTGCTCCGAAGGCGCCGGGTCCAGTGTCGCGCTGCTCCGCACCCCTCCCCCCGCTCCGCCCTCCCCTTCCGACCGCGGTCCAAACCGCCGGCATCCGCGGCCCGGCTCTGCCTCGGTCGGTCGGGGCGACACCCGTGAATCCGCGAAAGACACATCCGCTGTTTCTTGACCTCACTGTCTAAAACGGGAGAGAAACGACAAAAGGGAGCGAGCGGAGGGGGGGCGAGGGCAGGGGAGAGGCCTCCGGAGGAAGGCGGGTCCCTGTGTAACAGTCTTCAAAGGTTCCTCTCGGCCGAGTTTGCAGCATTAAGTTTCCTAAGACGGGAGAAGGGTTTCTTTGTGTCACAGATTCTGAGATGACGAACAAAGAGAACGTGGGGAAAACGAACCCCGAGGGACGGGGGCGCCGAGGCCCTTCGGCATGGCCCGGCCCCGCGCTCAGCTCAGCACCTCAGCGCCCGCTGGCGTGTCCGCTGTTTGCAATACAGTAGAGCAGTGTGCTGGTAAAAACTGATCCGATCCAAAAAATAATATTAATAATAATAATTATAATAATTATAATAATAATAAAAAGTCAAGGTAAAATAGCAGCTGCATTTTATGTGTTTGTTGGTGTTATGGGATTTCCAAGACAAAACACAACTCTTTTCCTTCCCTCTTCAGATCCGCTCGTGTCCTGGGCTTAGATGCTCGACTCCTTGGGGGGCAGGTCCACGTTGGTGACGGAGGTCACCAGGGAGACCAGACAGTCCGAGGTAGTGCCGTTGACCGACCTCCGGATCAGGGACACCCGCTCCTCCACGCAGCCCGCAGACAGGCGAGCCTCGGCGTCGTGGTCCCAGCACTCCTCGATGGTGACACAGAGCTGGGCCAGGCCCTGCACGGCGGCGGGGGCAGGGAAAGGACAGCCCGTTAGTGCCCTCGGCGAACACGGGCAGAGCTGAGATGTGACCGAGGGTCACGCAGAGCCCGCTGGCCCCAACCCCAGCAGAGGCCCGGGGGAGGCCGCAGGAATCAGGGTGCCTTCCGCCCGGCAGCCACCACCCCGACCCTACTGACCTCCCTCCACAGCCTCAACACAGGAAGGGACAGGGCGGGGGTGGGGGGGACCCGGGCCCCTCTCGGGGCGGACACAGCAGCTTGCCTCAGGGCGGCGACACTCAAACAAAATCTTACGTGAATCCCCAGTCGTGTGCGGCTTCGGTCAGAGTGGGGACCAGAGGAGGGCTGCATCCCACCCTACTTCCTACACCCCCGGCCCCCTCCTGAGCGTCCGGGGCATGTAGTGTGACACCCGACGCTGACACACTGAGTGGAGCCAGGGAAGGCAGATGCCCACACCCAGGGGCTCCGGCCTGCCCAGCACCAGGCCGCCCCGAAATCTCTCGGGGCCCTGGGCTCCTCACCAGGGAGCTGGACTGGCTGCCGCAGCACGCGCCCCGGGAGACTGAGGCCGACGGTACGGACTCCGCCCCGGCCCACATCTCCCCACGTCTCGGTTTTCTCCAGCTAGAGCCCCGGGTTCCAGGGAGCAGCACTGCAGCTGACCTTGGCCTCAAGAGCCTGCCCCGGATGGTATGTAAGGTAGAGCGCTAGCCCGCAGCGGCCTCAAGGCTCTTGTTTCTGAGTTAACCCTGAGCTGAGCGGGGGCAGGGGCTCCATGGAGCTGAAGGCAGATATCCTTCCTGGGGGGAAACGGCTTACGCTGCTGGGGTCTTCCGTACAACATCCCCAGACTGAGGCACCAAGATGCTCGGCTCAGCCCGTGCCCAGAGAACAATGAAGGCAGAGAACAGAGTATCTAATTAGGGCTAACCCGTATTACGCATTCATGTGACAAGTGTCCTGCCAAGCAATTTCCAACACCCAGTGACATCTGCCGCTGCCCTAAGGAGACGGACGCTCAGGGAAACAGAGCCATGTGCCAGAAGTCACCCAGCTACCGACCGGCAGGGCCAGGGTCCACACCCAGACGTGTCAGGGCCGGGCCGGCGGGCTCCCCTGCACAAAGGGCCCACGTGGAGGCGCCCGGATGGACGGCCAGGCCACCTCCCTGGCGAGCACAGAAGCTCCCCCGAGACCTTCGGGTGGAAGGGAGGCCATGCGCCGAGTGGCCTCTGACCGGGCAGGGGGACGAGGGCGGCCTGCTGCCCGAGCGTCCTCTCTGACCCACGCTCCCTCGCTCTCGGGCTCCTGTCACCCTCGGAGGGCTCCCCGCTCCGGCCCCGCGGCCCCAGGCCCGCACCGGGTGCTTCAGCCAGTGATCCTTGATGGCGGGCCGCATCTTCTTGTGCACAACCACCTCCTGCAGCTCCTCCAGCGACGGGTGCTGGCCGATCTCCTCCTCGAAGGGCAGCATGTACTCGTCCACGGGGCCTGGGGGGAGCGAGAGCCCCGCAGGGTCACCCCAGGGCACGCGGCGCCCCGTGCCACGCCCCGGGTGCCCGGGCTCCCGCCGCACTCACCGTCCGCAGCCTTGCAGCGGGACACCAGCTCCCACAGCACCAGCCCCATGGCGTACATGTCAATGCGCAGGAAGGCGTCTCTCTGGAAGTTGATGGCTCCCTCGAGCACCTCGGGGGCCATGTAGCGCCGCGTGCCCACCTGGAGGAGGGAGGACAGGGTGCCGAGGGCCGCACGCGAGCGTGCTCACAGCTGGGCACGCGAGCTACCTCCCGAGAGCGCCGGGCGGGGCCGGGAAGGCAGCAGGAGCGGGCACCAGCGGGGGCACGGGCCCTGACTCGCCACGTCCCCGGGGAGGTCACCAGAAGTCACGAGGCGCGTAATACCACGAGAGTCATTTAAAAATATCACACTCGAGACGACAATCTAACGTGGGGCTGCTGCGTGTTTACTCCGTCAGCACAGGGGCTGCCCAGACGGGGTCTGTGTTGCTGACGTTAAGGTCACAATCAAAGGGGGTAAAGAACGCTCAGGGATTTTTACAGCAGTTGTTTTAGGGTGATCTTCTCAGCCGTAACTTTTAGTTACTTTTCCTTGGTTTTTGGATTCTAGTATAGTTCCTTGTACTTTCTGTGTCGCTTACTAACTCAGCTGAAAGACAAAGAGCCCGAGCCCACGAGGCGGCCCAGCCCAAGGAGCGTGGTGCCGGGGGTCCTCAGACCGCTCTGGGCGCACGTGGCCCTGGCCCCCGGGTCTCGCCAGCTGGGCACCAGAAGGGCGGTGTCCACCCTCCCCACGCCATGCCGGCCCCCGCCCTGCACCCCCTGAGCCTCGTTACCTGCCCGTGAGTGTCCCCCGGCGGTTTCCCGGGCTCAAACCGAACAGCCAGACCAAAGTCAGCCAGCACGGCCGTGAGGTCACTCTTGAGCAATACATTCTTGCTTTTAAAGTCCCTGTGGAGGCAGGCGGACCGCGATGAGGGTGAACACCGTGGGCCAGGCTACCCTGCCCCTGGCCTCCCCCCGCGGCGCCCACGGTACCGGAGCCTGTGGCCCAGAGGTGTGCGGAGCAGGGCCTGCCCTCTGGGACACCCTCCCGCCCTCACCCCTTCCCCGGGAGGCTCTCCAACTACACTCGTCCCCAGGCCTCGGAGGAGCACCCCCGTGACGGCCGGGCAGACTCCGCTCCTGTCCCCATGGTCCCACAGGCCGGGCCCTGCGTCCTCAGAGCGCTCGAGGCCAGGCGCTGGTCCGGGACTGTCTTCCGGGAAAACGCACATTACACGGGACGTGAGTGACAAGGTTAGTGAACTTGCCAGGTGTCCGTCCAGACCCGAGGGGCTCGGGCCGCCACGCGGGCCAGGGAGGAGCAGCCGCTGCCCATGAGGCAGCTCCGCCTCCCACCAGCAGACACCTGTGGTCCTGCCTCGCCCTGCCTGTCTCAGTGTTACGGTGACGATTAAACTCAGGGAGTGGCACGTACCCAGGCTCAAGGCCCCCCCGCGCACTTACTGTGAGCTGTTAGGTCAAACCCTACGGAAGGCTCAAGAGTCAACCATTTGTGACCCACAAAAGTTGCAATTGCATACCGTCAACCGTAAAGGTCATCGGTGTTATTACCACAAGGGGCCCTTTAGCTCGGAATCCTGGAGCCCAAGCCTCATTCGCCCCCTCGCAGGTACAGAACCACGCGAGGTCTGGTGACGAAACGCTCGATCTCTCTGCACTACGGTGGCTTCCTCTGTATGATGCGGCTGGGGAAACAAGGTCTCTCTCACAGACCCCTCTGCGCAGGTAATGGGACGGATGTGGCGTGGCGTCTGGGGCAGTGCCCGCGTTGAGTGAGGCTACGGTGACGAGTCAGCACAGTGGTGTCAAGGCGTAGCCCCAGGACCTCAGTGAGCCCCTGCCACTGGTTCAGGGGAACCCCAAGGTCAAACTTTCTTGGATCCATAGCCCATTATCTGTCCTTCTGTGAGTTCATTCCCCCGGGAGTCTTCCAGAGGCTGCATGCTTGTGACGTCACCACTGACATTTACCGGAATGTGTGAGCTCCGCTACAGCAAATGCTGACACACAGAAGCCACAGACACAGATGTTGTTCGCTGGAACGTGAAACGGGGGGGGGGGGGGGGGGGGGGGGGGGGGGGGGGGGGGGGGGGGGGGGGGGGCCTGGGCCGCTCAGTCGGTTCACACTGACTTGGTTTCGGCTCAGGTCATAATTGTACAGTTTGTGGGTTCAAGCCCCATGTCGGGCTCTGCGCTGAAAGCACGGAGCCTGCTTGGGATTCTCTCTCCCTCTCTCTCTGCCTGTCCCCAGCTTGCTCTCTCTCTCAAAATAAATAAACTCACACACACAATTTTTTTAAAAAAGAATATAAAGAGATCCTAGGGACGCCTAGGGGCTCAGTCGGTTAAGCATCCGACTCTTGATTTCAGCTCAGGCCGTGACCTCACAGTTCATGAGATGGAGCCCCATGTCAGGCTCTGCGCTGATAATGCGAAGCGTGCTTGGGATATTCTCTCTCTCTCTGCCACTCTCTCACAAAATAAATAAATCAACATTAAAAAAAAAAAAAGAAAGTAAAGCGATCTAACCACAAAGTCTGAGAACTGCCGAAGCAACCCATCCAGCCAAAGTACTGGAGTCAGCACTGCCTCGCACGGCCACCAGGGGGCAAGAGACAGCCAGCGTCCAAGGCCACGCAGGCCCAGGACACAGGTGGAGGCGGGGGAAGGGCCAAGCGGGCCCACCCAGGCCGCACTTTCACCCTCCAGGCCCCTCTGAGGCTCCAGGCCAAGCCAGGGAAGGCAACGGCTAACCCAGGTACCTGTGGGCAATAGACGGCTTGTGGCCCTCGCCACGGCACCAGGGCACGTCCTCGTGAAGGTAGGAGAGGCCTCTTGACATGGTCTCTGCCACGTGACACAGTTCGTTCCACGTGATGATGTTCCCCTTGAGGTAATCTGTGAGGGAGCCCTGGAGGAGACAGCACAGACCCGGGCTACAGGTCCTGGGCACGGCAGGAGCCAGCGCCGCCCGGCCCTGGGACGCTGGGATGGCCATGCAAGGTGTGCGGCCGGGGGCTGTCCGGGGCGGTCAGTCGCGAAGGCGCTCTGCGTGTCCACCAGACTTTATCCTGGCGTCGGGTGTGCCTGACGTGGACTCTCACGGGCACACTGGGAAGGGCCTCCTTGGGCGGAAGGCCACCGGCCCTGGGGCGCCCCGTCCACGGGCGTGGCTCAGGCTCACCTTGTCGTGGAAAGCGGTGATGAGCCACAGCTCCACCTCGAGGCTGGAGCCCCGCTTCTCAGCGGCGATGAACTGCAGCAGGTTGTCATGCCTCATGCCGGGCGTGCTGAAGATCTCCCGCTCGCTCTGCCACGACTGCTTGTCCTGCGGCAGGGGCGCGACTCAACTCCCGGCGGCCACACAGCCCCACGCCACCCGCACAGCACCCTCCCTCCCAGCCTCCGCTCTGTAAGGGAGGCAGGCAGAAGGCCAGGACTGAGCTGGGCCCCGGAGCCCCGGCCAACAATGGTCGCTCAGGGCCAGCACCTGATTTACACCCATGGCCACTGACGTCCAGGGAGGGGCGGAGTGGCCCAGTGTCACCCACCAAACGAGACGCAGAGCCAGGCCTCCCTTTGCTAAGTGTCCTGGGCAGCTGCTGGGTGGCCTGCTGTCCAACACCCCTGAGCAGAGCCTGATGTCAAAAACAAAGCCCTGAAAACCAGAGCAGATCAAGGTTTCACAAGGCGCTACCCTAGCCCTACAAGAAAATTTCAGTGGGGCCCGTCTCTCATCCCACCTGCGCGGGCCCAGGCTGCCCTGGGCTGGGACAGCTCAAGCCACAGCAGCGGGACGGTCTAGGGGTCCCTCAAACCCTCACCTGCAGCGGGAAGATCTTGACAGCCACGAAGTCATTCATGAGCTGCGCCTTCCAGACACAACCGAAGCGCCCCCGAGCCTTGATCTCCAGCAGCTGCAGCGGCTTCAGGCCCACCAGGGGGGACGGAGGTGGAGGCCCAGGGTCCTGGGGGGACGGTGGACTTCACAGGTCCGGCCTGCCACCCCCCCACCCCTGCTCTGCCCTGCCCCAGCCGTGTCTCACCTCGTGGACGTCCACGTGGCCGTAGGGGGGCTGCCACCCCCCAACCCCTGCCCTGAGCCAGCCGTGTCTCACCTCGTGGACGTCCACGTGGCCGTAGGGGGGCTGCCACCCCCCAACCCCTGCCCTGTCCCAGCCGTGTCTCACCTCGTGGACGTCCACGTGGCCGTAGGGGGGCTTGCGATGCCGGTACATCCAGAAGGCCAGCAAGACGATGATGGAGAGGCCCCCAACGGGCAGCAGCGAGTAGGCCAGCACCGTGAGCAGGGCGGGGGCTGTCGGGGGTGGCTCGTACGTGACTGGGGGACACAGGGAGCCCTGCGTCACACAGCCCGCCTGCCCACACGCCTCGGGGGCCAGACCGGAGAGCCCCGCGGTCACTCCCCACCGAATTCGGGAGCGGGGACCTCAGGGGCTGGCCGAGGAGAGCCCCGACTGCGCCCTCACCTTCCGGGCCGCCAGCCTCCGGCAAGTGGGTGAACCGCTCGTTGCAGAAGTTGCCTTCACAGCAGCAGAAGTACACCTGGGGGTTCTCCTCGGTGGCCACGCACTCCTGCCTGGGGGCACACAGGTCCCCGCACAGCCTCAGAGGAGGTGCCCCACACTCACTGGGGCCCACTCAGCCCACCCTCCCCACACCCAGGAAAGCCCACGAAAGCCATGGACGGAGGGCCATCGAGGGCAGGGTGAACCCACCTGCCCTAAAGTGGGGCCCAAAGTGGAGCAGGGGCAGCCAAGGGTCCACAGGGAAGAGGCGGCCTTGGGGCTGAGGCGGGGAAAGCACAGCTGGGGGAGAGCTAGGACCCAGGCAGCACCCCTACTGTCTGGAGAAGGCCCTTGTCTCCCCTACCCTTAAATGCCAGGCGCGCTTGCAGACATTCTGAAGCCCAGTGAGCACTGTAGCAAGAGGACTCTGGCCGAGCTGGGGAGCCTGGGGGCAGGGGGCGGGGCCTGGGGAAAGGGGCGGGGCCTGGGGGAAGGGGCGGGGCTGGGGGGCCTGGCTAGGGAAGGGGAGGGGCTGGGGGGCTTGGGGGCGAAGGGGCGGGGCGGGGGTCCTGGGGGGAAGGGGCGGGGTCTGGCTGGGGAAGGGGGCGGGGGTCTGGGGGAAGGGGGCGGGGTCTGGGGGCAGGGGCGGGGCGGGACGGGGCGGCTGGCGCACCTGTCGTAGCAGTTGAAGTCGTCCAGCCAGCAGCCCTTCTTGACGAGCTCGATGGTGCCCGAGCTGTTGCGCCAGGAGGCGTAGCAGTGCAGCCGCTTGCCCTGCTCGCCCTCGCAGCGCTCCAGGCCGCTCTGGTTGGTGCGCTCCAGCTCCCAGTTGGCGTTGTAGTAAATGCACTCCCGGGTCTCGGCCTCCCCGCGCCCGGAACCTGCGCCCCGACGTGAGAGCTGAGAGGAGGGCCGGCTGCAGGGGGCTCCCGAGGGGCGGGGGGGGGGGGGGGCTGCTTCCTTGCAGCGGCCGAAAGGGAGGGGCCCTCGACACCCCGGCGCGGCGCGGCACTACCGCGTGGGCTGGGGCCCAGCTGCTGAGGACACAGGGTCGTGGGCCGAGCCCACGCTGCACCACGGAACCGGCGCAATCCGCGTTCTTAACCCCGCCGCCCCCTCCAGCCCCCCCACCCCGGCTCAGGTGGTTGTGATGAAGCCCTAAGGGACTGAATCTGGGGGCCCCCCGGGGAGGCTCCCTGCTGCTGCTGTGTGACACACACACACACCCCGGATGGAAGATGACGACCCTCCCGTCCAGTGTCCCTCCTGCACCCAGAGACGACAGCTGGTACTCAGCACGGCAGGAGAAGGCCCGAGACCGAGGCGGGGTCCTCAGGGTTAGGCTCCAGGGTCACGCGGGGAGCACGCGCCCGGAGCAGAAGAGCGGCCGGCTTCCAGCTGGGCTTGGCCCCTGGAGACCCCTGGGAGCACCCCCCCCATTCCGTGCCCTCTTTCAGCCCCGGCGCGAGGGCCATCCAGGAGGCCAAGCCCCAGCTGGCCCTTCACATACTTCTTTCCTTCGAACGCGGCCTGGGGCATCCACCTGACCCACCTCTCACCCTCCCTCCCTCCCAGGCCCCTCCCCGGCCTCCTGTGCGCCCGCTGCCCCCAGCCTGGCAATGGGAAGGGGCAGGAGGAAGGAGATCATGGCTCCCTGGCCCCACGCCTGAGCTGGAGAACTCTCCAGAACCCCGTCTGGGGGGTGCCTTTGCGGGGCACCCGCGCTGGGCCTCATGGCCACAGGCAGGCCGGCACCTGGGGGGGGAACCAGCCTCTCCACTCTTCGTGCGCTTGCTGTGGGCCGGGGGCCCGGGCCACCCCTGCTGGTGTCCCCACCCCAGGAAGGAGGGAGGCAGGCTCAGAGTCACCCCACGGGAGGACGGCCAGCCCACCGGCAGCCATGAGCCCTTCCCACCATCGGCCTGAAGGGCGGGCTGGGGGAGCCGAGTAGAGAAGACCCCGCCCGACCCGCTGCGGCGCCAAGTGCCCGACATGCCACGGTGCGCCCAGGGAGGACGGCGGCAGGCGGCGGGCAGGAAGGGACCCCCACTGCAGGAGCGGCCATTCTCTCGTCGCCCCACACCTTCGGCGTCTCTCTGCAGTGGGGTGTCCTTCTAGAGCCCAGGGGCAACGGCGAGTCTCCAAGCTGCAGGCAGACCTGTCAGAAAGCCAGTGTGCGGCCACGGCTCTGGGCATCCAAGGACACTGGCGGTTTTGTTTTTTAACTTTGCGGTTTTTGTTTTACATGTTTATTTTGAGAGCGAGCGAACAGGGGAGGCGCAGAGAGAGAGGGAGAGTCCCAAGCAGGCTCCGTGCCGTGGGAGCTGCACACACAGCCCACAAACCGCGAGATCGGGACCCGAGCTGAAACCAAGAGCTGCGATCGCTGAAACCAAGAGCTGCGCGCTGCAGCGACAGCCACCACGCGCCCCCGGGGCCTCGAAGGACTCTTGCGAGAAGAGGAGCGCTGTCCCAACCACCCGGGCACAGCAACCCGCGGGAAGGGGCTCCTGCGGGTGTGCACCCCATCCCCCAGCCACACCCTTCATCCAGCGTGTGCGGTGACCCGGAGAGCATGCAGCGAGCTGCGGACAGGGGTGCTGGCCCTCCTCAGTCTTACTTCCCCCCGCCTGTCACACCCCCCGCCTGTCACACCCCCCGCCTGTCACACTCTGCTGCCTGTCACAGCCACCTGCCTGTCACACACCCCTGCCTGTCACACTCTGCTGCCTGTCAGAGCCACCTGCCTGTCACACCCCACCGCCTGTCACACCCTGCTGCCTGTTACACCCCCTGCCTGTCACATCCCGACTGTCACGTCCCCCTGCCTGTCACACCCCCTGCCTGTCACAGCCACCTGCCTATCATATCCTGCCGCCTGTCACAGCCAGCTGCCTTTCACACCCTATCATACCCCCCTGCCTGTCACATCCCCCTGCCTGTCACACACCCCTGCCTGTCACACCCCTGCCTGTCACACCCCCTGCCTGTCACATCCCCTGCCTGTCACACTCTGCTGCCTGTCACAGCCACCTGCCTGTCAGAGCCACCTGCCTGTCACACCCCACCGCCTGTCACATCCTGCTGCCTATCACATACCCCTGCCTGTCACATCCCGACTGTCACAGCCCCCTGCCTGTCACTCCCCACCGCCTGTCACACCCTGCTGCCTGTTACACCCCCTGCCTGTCACATCCCAACTGTCACGTCACATCCCGACTGTCATGTCCCCCTGCCTGTCACATCACATCCCGACTGTCACGTCCCTCCTGCCTGTCACTCCCCACCTGTCACACCCCCTGCCTGTCACAGCCCCCTGCCTGTCACACACCCCCTGTCTGTCACACCCCCTGCCTGTCATACCCCCCTGCCTGTCACATCCCCCTGCCACATCCCCCTGCCTGTCACACCCCACTATCTGTCACACACCCCTGCCTGTCACACCCTGCCGCCTGTCACACCCCGCCGCCTGTCACACCCCGCCACCTGTCACATCCTGCCACCTGTCACAATACCCCTGCCTGTCACATCCTGTCACGTCCCCCTGCCTGTCACACCCCGCCGCCTGTCAGACCCCAATGCTTGTCATACCCCCCTGCTGTCACAGCCCCCTGCCTGTCACATACCCAACATCACACCCCCCTGCCTGTCACACCCCCTGCCTGTCACAGCCCGCCGCCTGTCACACACCCCCGTCAGGCTCTTAAACATGCACAGCTTCTGGGCTGAGCACGAAATGTACCTCTGGCTGCAAGACGCTCCTCACCCTCTCCTTTAAACCCTGCCTCTTCTCGGGCACCTGGGGGCTCAGTCAGCTGAGCAGCTGCCTCTTGATTTCAGCTCAGGTCATGATCTCACCCTCTGGGTTCAAGCCCTGCCTCGGCCTCCGGGCAGACAGTGAGCGTGGGGCCTGCCTGGGATTCTCTCTCCCTCTCTGTTTGCCCCCCCATATGTGCACGTGTGTGTGCTCTCTCTCTCTCCCAAAAGAAATAAACTTTTAAACAATCAACTTCCTTATAGAAAATAAATTCCAGCTCTTCCCTCCACGAGGCCAGGCAGGCTCTACTCCCACAGGCCCCTGTGCTTCCTCCATCAGCTAACTTATTACCCCTGACTCCCTGCCTGCGGGTTTTTAAATGAATATATCCAACACTCAAAAAGTGCATCAACAACATAACCAGAGACAACCTCCAGGAGAAAACACAGTGAATACTCACATTAAGAAAGAAAACACTGGGGGGCACCTGGGCGGCTCAGTCAGTTAAGCATCTGACTTCAGCTCAGGTCATGGTCTCACCATTTACGAGTTCAAGCCCCACTGGAGCTGCCTCGGATTCTGTGTCACTCTCTCCTGCCCCTCCCCGGCTCACGCTCTGTCTCCCTGTGTCTTTCAAAAATAAACAAACATTTAAAAATATTTTTAAAAAAAAGAAAGAAAGAAAGAAAACATCGGGGCACCTGGGTGGCTGGGTCACTTGAGCATCCGACTCCTGATTTTGGACTCAGGTCATGATCCCAGGGTCGTGGGATCAAGCCCTGCATGTGGCTTGTGCTGAGCATGGAGCCTCTTTAAGAGTCTCTCTCCCCCTCTGCCCCACCCCACCCCCCACCCCGCTCATGTGCACGCATGCTCTAATTTAAAATAAAATAAAACACTATAAACGTACTTGACGCTTTACATGTCAGCCTCCCCCACAAGACGGTAAGGCTGCTGAAGGCAGAAGCCCTGACTACGTTCAGTGCAAGAGTAGTTCCGGACACAAGACGGATGGATGATGGAAGGACCACAGACAGAAAGACACAGCTGTCACCTGGCTAGGGCCGGATTTCCAAGGGAAGGGACAACGAGGCGTGGCCCAGCCCGCAGCCCAGGCTCCGGAGTGCTTGGCAGACAGCAAGCAACAAGCCCCTGGGCAAGGCCAGGAGCCCAGACGCTGACAGTGGCCTTCGGCGGGCCCAGCGCCGCTCTTCAGGCCACCCACCCACCGGGCAGGGACTCCGGCCTTCACCACGGGCGGGACCGAGTGGACAGGGCTGGGGACTCCAAATCTCAAGGCTCCAGGTAAGACTCAAGGGTTCAGGCTGTAACTGGATCCCCATCTGAGCAGATCCCCCCCCAGAGAACAGATAGGACAGCCTTGCGCTGGCCCAACTTTGTTCACATCCTAGCTCTGCAACCTCCTGGCTGTGGGGCCCTGGGAACGCTACCAATCTACCCTGTCTGCGCCTGTTTCCTCACGCGTGAAAAGGGGATAAGACCCCCTAATCCCTAGGGCTGCTCCAGAGTCAAATGAGTTCACCATTTTAAGAGTAGTGAGGACCGTGCCTGGCACGTTGGCTGTTGCACTAACATCAATCCCTTCCTGCTGCCTGGGACAGTCCTTCCCAGCACAAGTCCCCAGAGGGCTCCCGGCCCATCCAGCCGAGACTCTGCACCCAACACCTCTAGGAGCTTTGCGTTCAGAGCCCGGGGCGGGCGGGGAGGGGACCCCAGGCCCCTCCCACAGCAGGATTCAGAGCCCAGGGAGGACCTGGGGGACCCCGGGCCCCTCCCACAGCACACCCAGGCTCCGCTGCCAGCTGGAAACCCAGGGTCCCCCTCCCCTCCTCCCTGGTGCTCTGCTTCTGCACACACTCAGCTATTTATAGCCTCTGGCAACACTCCAGTCACAAGGCAGCCTCTGCCTTTTAATAGACACAGAGCGCCTGCCCACGCTTGCTCACGGGGCCAGGGCGCCCGTGCACGGGAGGCTCCCCTGGCCCCCACCCACTCACGCATCCCAGCAGGCGAGGAAGCCGAGCTCGCAGACGGGGCGCCCGCAGCTCCCCCATACGTGCTGCCTCAGAGCCCTGCGGGCGGCTACCTCCGAGACACCGAGCC